TATACACTTTTAAATTTATAATTAAAAAAGCTAAGTATTCAATAAATGAGGTGACATAACATACCTATCTTTACCGTAAATCTTTTTTATATTATTGACTATTGTATGAGTAAACAAATGTCGAGGATTGCAGAGGACTTGTATCCGTCTTAAAAGTTACAACTGTAGCAAATTTGAATTTCATAGCTCCAGACGCTCCAGTTCTGTTTATATTCCTTTAATAATTGACTATAATATAGTAAATCGTACTATTATAGAACGTAAAGGTAACGTTATCTGCATCTTCACTTGGGTTTTTACAAATTTACGACATTTTAATTTTTAAATTACCTAGTTAAGAGAATTTGTTAATTGCAATACTTTACATACTAAAAACTTCTTCAAAAATTGAAATATCGTAAAAAGTCCAAGTGAAAAAACGCAAATACCTATAGGCTATAGTTTGGTATTATTGTATTTATCAATAAGTCAACTCACTCTATTATTTAAGGTTACTATACTAAATTCAAACCATTGAATACAAATTTGCCATGTAGTTGTATAGTTGTTGTAAGAGGGAGAAAACATTGTGTGGTGTCTTCTAGCTATTGAGGCTTATTAAGTGATATTACTGTAATACTAAACAGTAAATATTACTACATAAAATAATTAAAACTGTTGATTATTAGTTTGACTTATAGTGTAGACTGTAGGCACGTTTTTAAGAGTGAGACGATGCATGCATGATATTCTCTTGAGTCCATTCTCGCAGAATTAGGTTTTCTAAGCGAGTAATATCAAATATAGGAGTTCCGAACGTAAAATATATATTATATTATGTAAAATTAACATAAGGATACAAAGGGAAAATGTTGGAATAGAATATTTTTCAAACGGAGTGAATGCTATTGCTATAAACTTTATATTAATTAATAACTAAACTATGTTTCTATTTTTGTATACTTGTACATGCAAATTTTACAGATGAATTATTATCATTAGCCAACTGAATCATTTATTTTTAAAATTTAATATATGTATATGGGTATGAAAATACTCAAACACGCATTTATATATCTTAAGGAAATTATTTACACGTCGTCTACACGAAGTTTTATTTGTAATATAAATCTATTTGTGACAAACCTAGAGTTGAACATTTTATGTGGACTGAATCCTGGACGTATACCGATAAAGGACATAACTAGACATGAGACATCACTGTACGATAGTGGAAGTTGGTTGATTCTACAATTTAAATATGTATTTGATAAAAATATTAAAATACCTAGTGTTGTTATTTATTTGTAGATTGAAGAAGTGAAGGCGGTTGCTGATCTTGTGAAGTACAATCATAATATGGCAATAATAACAGTTAACGCTGATTCAAACTACCGAGTTCTAACGAGGTATTTTTTTTTAAATGTTTATGAAAATTTTGGATTTAATCAACTTTTTAGGGTTGTCCAGAAAGTGACGATAATACTCAAACTGACAAGTTCAAAAACCTCGAGTTACGAGTCAATTACACGGCGTTGAAAATATACCACTTGTGACTTGGTCACTTGGAGCAATATTATTGGACMCTTATCCATGTAATATTCTGTACTCATATATACAACTTTTGACTTTGCCCTAATTTAATCGGGATTATCAAAAAACAACGACCATGGTATTACACTATATATAGTGCTTAACCATGTGGCCATRTCCCATTGGACATTACCTACTATACAACCCCGCGTGACAAACATCGATTTGTGGTAGGCACGAGGTACTTATACATTTCAACTTGTAAATTTTGTATACTAATGCTTGAATACCAACATCATATTTTTTTTGTTTTGAGGATAAATTTCTATATTTTTTTTGTGTGTGTTAATTATGAACAGTTATCTTAGAGTAGGTATTTTTCGGTGGTTTATCTATTTTTGTAAGCCTTGTGGTTTATTGAAGTTAATTGTTTTAACTACATTCAATTTTGTTTAAAAATAACAAGAAGCTTTCATTTTGATGAAGTTATTGGTGAACATATTGGTTAGGTACATACTAGCCACTAAAGAAAAGAAACATAATTTTTATAATTATTGTTTACTATTTTAGACTTAACAAAAATAATCAATGCGATGCACTAAAAATAATGATATTAAATTATGTTTTAACTTATAACTTTTAAGATTGKTATAAGTTATAACTAGAATTGTCCGTACAGCGTACAATACACTATTATAAATACGGCTTATAGGTTTTTTTAAATTGTGCTCTTCGGAGCCACAAGATTTCGTGATGTTGCAAATGTAAAAATGTACATAGGGGCTCCTTGGACAAAATAGTATTTGGTTTGATTTTGTTTATTTTATTAATAATAACCTGCATATTTTATTTTCTAGTCGACAACGATGTTAGATGCGAGTTGATTRAAAGAAATAATTCTTTTATCGTTTATAATTATTTATTATATGAGAAATTGTAAAGAAACAAATTAATAATTAAATATTCAAACCATTAACTTCCATGTACGAGATCCTCTTAAACAATACCCAAATTACGCCGCTGTTGAAGGCAACTTATTGTTGCCTGTAACCTAAAATCAAAAAAAAGCCTATAAACATGTAGTATATTCACCTAGTGACCTAAAAATCTAATC